TACTAAGCCGCTGCCACTCTGGGTCCTCTGAGAGTTCTTGCGGGCCCCAGTGAAAAACGTTTAGGGTCTGCAACAGGGCCATCTGTGTCTAGAATTCCTGACGTGGGGTTTAAGTCCAAGATCCAGGCCTCTTTCCAGACCGTGGTCCAGCTGGTTGTCTGGCTCTCCCTGATTTTTCGTGTTACCCTCCCCCCAGACCTGACCCATCTGCCTTTTTTCACAAGTGACCTCTGAAACTTGGGGCCGCATAGATATCTGCTGAATCAGCAGGACCAACTGCTGCTCCTCTCACTGGGTTCCAGGCCAAGAGGAAGATGTGCCAGGATGGCCTGGTGAGGGCCTCTGGTGTTGGCTGTGTGGTTCCGAGAAGGGCTGGGGAAGGAAGGAGGCAGCAGTGGAACAGGCATGCAGGTGACTTTTCTCTGGAGGCCTGTTGTTTTGGGCTGAGAGTGAGGAAGGAGCCGTGGACCGAGCCCTCAGAGAGGCAGGGGATGGCAGAACATCACGAGTGTCTGCCCGTGCCAGCTTCTGGGTGAGCAGAAGATGCCCAAGCCTTCCTCCTCTCAGCGAGCCTTCACTCAGGCCCCTTTTCCGGCTGGCCAGCCTGGTGTTGTCCCTGCCTTATTGAGATGGGCAAGACGAGGACAGGGAGGCTGGGGAGCAAGCGCGTAGTGTGACTTCCTCAGCTAGCAGGGGTTTTCCCACCGGAAAGAAAGGACCAGTACTGAGATCGTCCTGTGTTGATGGGTTTAGCCTTGGGAGGTGGGGGTGATGGGGGAGGGGCTGTAGGTCGGAGTGAGGAATGGTAAGCGCCTGCATCACAGACATTTCCTTGCATTGACTCCTCCCAGCTCTGTCCCCCTCCAGCTGTCCCTGCATCTCACTATTCCTCACATAAACCCTTGGCGCCAACCTTGGAAACCTTCTCTCTGGGCTCTGGATATGCTGTGTGTGCTCTCCTTTTTACCCCATTCTGTTCTGATAGAGGCAGGCTCCAGGCACCTGTAGTCCGCCTAACACGTACCAAGACGTTTCTAGACCCATGTCTCAAGTGCATTGAGCATGGACTGTCTGCGTCTTTTCTGTCTTTTCGCAGCAGAGAGTGCAGGATACACTCTCTGTATCTTTGAACAGATACAATAGAGTTGACGTACAGACCTTCACACACTCTTAAGAGCTCCCATGAGGGGCTTGTCTTGGAGATCTGCCACCTCCAGGCAGTTAGCCTTGATTCAGTAGGAGCACAGATGCCTGCTCCAATCAGGGTCTCAGACAACAGGCTAAAAGTCACTTCCAGTAGTCTTCCTGCCATCCCCGACTCTGGGGAGCACAAGACCATGGTGCTCAGAAGATGACCCAAGATTTATTTAGTTTATGCTTAGGATGGGAGCAGAGAGGAGACTTCTCTACACAGCTTACATGGAAGCAAAGGATGGAAGGAAGAAAATAAGGGGAGGGGGTGTGTTTGAGGGGAGGGATGAAAGGGGGAAAAGAGAAGATATAAAAAAGACAAAGGAGGAAGAGGAGAGGACAGGAGCTCCCGAGATATGAGACATTTGAGACATTCAGACTTCATGGCCCCATAGAGATGGATAGCTCTGGGGTAGGAGCTAAATTTGAATTATAATGAGAGAATCTCAGCCTGCCTCCAGTAATCCTCTGCCCATGGACGTGGGGACTTGGGCAAGCCCTGGGATCCACTGGCTCTAAACACGGCTGGGTGGACAGATGGACACGTGCTCAAGCAGAGAAGCTGTGGCCACACTGAAGCCTGGAGCTTCAGGCCGGGTCATTTGCTTCCATGGCGAGGAGGGGACTTTGCTGGGTCAGGCTGAAGCTCTGACTCCAGCCAGGAAAGGGATAATCAATTCTGTAGAGGCTGTGAGCCTTGATTGAAAAAATAAAGAGGAGGAAGCTAGATTGCTGCTTTCATTAAGAGGCAAAAGCAGTGGGGGCTGGAGCTTAGCAGGAGCCAGGAAGCAGCAGAGAAAGAATGTTAACCCCTTGGGTGTCATTCTTCCTGATGTCTTTACACTCACCCATTCCCACTCTGTTGCTTCCTTGATCTGACTTCCAAGGCCACCAGCTTCGTAGCTCCCTTAGGTGGAGGAGGAAGAGGCTGGGCAGCATATTAATGGAGATATGATGACAATTAAATGATCTATTATTTCCCAGTCCCAGGGTCCCCAGGGCTCCCACCTCTCCTGGATTCGAGGAGGAAGATGAGTTCTGGGGATAAGAGAGAAGCTGTGCGGTGAGATCACAAGTCTCCCACTGCCAGGTAACCCTCACCCCCACTTCAGCAACCTCACCAGGGCCTCGTTCTTACCCTACTGAGGCCAGAAAAGGGGAAGGAAGAAACAAAAACGGATTTCAGCAAAATTATGATGGAGAGACCCCTCTGCCGGCTTTTCCTCCTACGTCAGAATGCCCAGTAGGAAACTGATTTAGCAGGGAGATTCCCAGGAGAGGCCCCAGGAAAAGGGCTGCTGGCTCGGCTCTCTCTCCCCCTGTCTCATCTGGTCCATGGAGTGCTGCCCATATCTAACCCAACAGCACTGAGAGGTTGGATAGAAAAGGACAGACGTGCAAATCGGGGGTCGTGGGTGGAGAGCAGGATGGGGCCAAATGTATAGTCAGCAAAGATTATTCCTTCCTGAGGTTCTGCGGGGAAACTTCAGCTGAAGTTAAGCAGAAAAGTGGGGAGACACGGGAGATCCAAAAGGCATTTAGTCCACCTGGATGCCCAAGATTTCCCATCCAAGTGGGGAGGGAGCTGAGGGAGGAGGTGAGGCATTTGTTTCTGAGCTCTCTAAGTCCCTGGACATCTAGGCTTGGGTGTCTAGGCTTGAGGAGCAGCAGGGGTGAGCTGGCAGATCTGAAGAAAGGAAGGGGTTCCTGGCAGTGTTAACCTCTTGGTACCTGGCACAACTTCCTGAAAGATTTCCAACAACTTCCACTCTCTTCCACCATTTTAATTACTTATTTTTGCCCTGCTCCCTTGGGAAGGAAAAGCAGGAAAAGAGAGAGGGGAAGATAAGGACATGATGGTGTCTCTCCAGTTGTGACATGTGAGGCTGGATAGGAATCCAGATGATACCTGAAACCCCTGGATTCCCAGCAAGAGCCCCTGGGCAGGAGAGTTTGGGCTCTTTAAGCTGCTTTTGGGGCCACAGCAAAGTCCTTATTCAGGAGAAATGAGCTTTCTTCAACCCTTCTTGCCCACACAGTCCCTGAAGGGATGCCAAGAAGATGGGAATGTGGTGGAAAAGGAGGAGGACACCGAGGAGCATGAGGAGAGGAACCACGATTCCCTGGAAGCTGCGGTTGCCCTAGGAAATGGAATGGAATAATACCCCCTATTTGGGGTGGGGGGAAACACATGGTATTTTAGATTTTTTTTTGTTTTCAATTTTTTTCCCCACCTTTTGCTGAGCCCTGGGCAATGAGGGAAAACTGACTTTCTGCTTTTTCTGCCAAATAAGGAAAGAAAACCGTGACACTGAAGGGAGAGCAGTGGACCATTGAGGGAGCTTGGAAAGAAAGCCGCATCTTCTTGGGGTTTGAATCAAACGCTATGGAGTCATCCTGGATCTCCCCCTCTTAAGAGCCCAAGATTTTGGTCACGTCTACCCTGTGTCCTGACCCAACTTGTCTAACTCTGCAATAGATGTGAGGAGGAAATGAGCCTATGTCAAATCTTCACAGGTATGTGTAGATTAAAGCATGCCAAGGCTACTGAAGATGACTCTTGGTTCTCCGCCTTTCCCACCCCCAGCTTCCTTAGCATCCCCATTGTCAGGGTCAGGTGCTGACTAGCTTCTGATTTCCCGTGAGCTGTTCTTCCATCACCTGTCTCCTCAGAGAAAGGAAGCTGACATGGTCACAGCCTTCCCAACACAGAGGACAGAATATTCCAGTCTTCTTCCCTTCTTCCCATATCCCTAGTTCATGGTCATTGGATGTAAAGAAAAAAGCCTGAAGTCCTAGAGTTTCTCTTTAGGGGCTAATAAGCATATTTCTCTCTGGACCTAACATGAGATTCCACTTATCACCGAATAACCGAGGGGAAACAAGATTTGCAGTCACCAGCCATAACAGGAATTAAATCCAAATGCCAACTCCGTTTGCCAACTGTCTCATCATTATTCCCTTTGCACGATTGCTAACACCCTGCATAGAAATCCTCCTTGAGTCAGAGGGTAGAGCTGTAACCAGACAGACCTGACACTATAAAGGGATTCTCCATAGGCTTGGTGGGTTTTTACCTGGCACCCCTGTAGATTTGTGGGGATTCAGAAGAAAGGGGCCCACTCAGGTCAGAGCAGAGTAAGCTTCCCCAAATGAGCCACTCCTGGATTTGACTCCCACTGCATCGGTTAAAGAGCTAGCTTGTTCCCCTGGGAGATGCTTTCTCCCACCCTCCTCTTCCTCTGTTTCCAGCCCCCCTTCCTTCTCACATCATTCTGCCTCTCAGCCTTATGTTCTTGCCTCCCAAATCCCCTCAGACCCCAGTTCTACTCTTTCTGGACCCTGCCCTTTTTAAAGCTCTTAACATGTCTTTTTTTTTCCATATCTCCCTCTCCATTCAAATAATTTTACTACCCAAACTCCCATCCAGATTTTCTCTAACTTAAAAAGATTCTTCAACTGTTCTCTTTTCTTCAGTTTAATCTTCCCCCCTAACTCCCGCCCCCCAGTCTTGTCCCCTTTGAAATCTGCCAGTTTTCAATAACCCTAATCACCTAACCCCCACATCTTTCCTCCTCTGACCCCTTTTGCTCCAACATCCCCCAGACCCCCTCGAACACTGGTGTCATTCCCTCCTTCCCCCCAAATCTCCTTGACATACTTCCGCCCCTAAGCATCTTCTCACCCCTCCACTTCGCACTGCCCTAGTCCCCAGACTCGGGTGCAGCTGATCACCCCCTTGTCCCCCACTCACGCGCGCTAGCTTCCCTCCCTCCCACAAAGGTCCCCACGCCTTCTTCCCCACTCACTCGGGTCTCCTGCTCAGGACGCCCTTGCCGAGGGCGGCGGGGGATTTGTGCTGAAGGAGGGTCCCAGCAGCAGCGCAACAACTCGGGGGACGCTCCTTCTCCTTGTCGGCCACGGCCCCGGGCGCCACCGGGTGCTGGTGGGGCGACTGGGGCGCGGGAGCCCTGCCGCTGGGGCCCGGCTGGGGCTGAGCCGGGAGCTGTCCGTGGTGCTGGAGCGGGGGCTGCTCGGGCGCGGGCCGTGGCGCGGCGGGCGGCAGCTGTCCGTGGTCCTGGAGCGGCTCCGCGGTGGCCGGCGAAGGGGGCGCGAGCCCGGGCGGAGGCTGGGCTTGCAGCAGCTGCTGGTGCTCCCACAGGCTGCGGTTCTCGGCGCTCAGCTCGTCCAGCCGCCGCTCCAGCTCGTCGATGCGCTGGCGCTGGGTGTGGATGAGGCTCTGCTGGTTCTGCACGATGGCCGTGAGCTCCTTGAGGTAGAGCACGGCGCGCACCGGATTCTCCAGCAGGCTCTCCATGCCGCCCGCCGCCGCCGGCTCCCTGCCTGCGCCTCGGCGGGCGGCGGGGAGCGCGAGGGCGCGCACGAGCCCAGCAGCCGCGGCGGCCCGCTCGCCCCCCTCCCGCCGCCGGCGCCGCGTCACCGCCACACCGACATCCACACACGCACGGGGGGCGGGACCGCGGCGCCCGGGCGCACCCTCCCCCTCCCACCCGCCCCAGGCTCCGCGAGGAGTCTCGGCTTCCTGCGGGGCTGGCAGGAGCGGAGAGAGGCGAGTGAGGGAGCGCGTAGAGGCTCGGGATAAACGGAGGGGACGCGAATCTGGCAAGAAGGGATAGCCGGCGAGGTGGAAGTGAGGTGGGACCGGGAGGACAGAAGCAGATAAGGAAAGAGGGCGCAGAAAAGGAGAGGGTGGCGAAAGGAGACAGAAATGTACGAAAAAGAGGACGGCTGACAGGTCACGCGTTCTTTTTCCTGTGTCCAGTCATCCCAGGGAGTGAGGGTCCATCTTAAAGACCTTCCGAGGGGAGGCCACACTTGCCTCTTGCGCACTCGGCAATCTTGTATTCTGCTGGGGGAATCCCCTGGAACAGGAGGGTCATGGGACACTGAGAGACCCCAGACAACATCTGGTCCTACTCCTTCAGCCAAGGAGAAACTTAGGCTGGGAAGGCCGTTTGTTTATGCTTGATTTTCTCTGGGAATGAGACCTCAGGACAGGTTTAGCTCTTCTAATAGGAACATGAACTAAATAAACCGGACCCTCTGTGTCATGAACTAAAGAGTTTCCAGAAGCTTCTTAAAGAGATCATTCTGTTTGAAAAACAGCTATGAAAGGCATACTGCACGGAACACTGTGCTGGGTGGTGGTAAGATAAGGGTGACTAGAATGGAATCTTTGGCTTCTTGAAGCTTATGATTAAGTAGGTGAAACAGGTAGTAAATATTTCATTTCAATATACAGCTTATGATTAAGTAGGTGAAACAGGTAATAAATATTTCATTTCAATATACAGTGGCGGTTCTAAGTGATAAGATGAAGATTGCCCCAAGTACTATAGGAGCCCAATGGCTTGGGGATTTGAGAATGCTCCTTGGGGGAAATAACACTTGAAGTGGGAAAGATTTTCCAGAAATGGAGAACAGCATTAGCAAAAGCTCAGAGACAGGAATCAGCATGGACTGAATTACTCAATAATTTCTACAATAACTTTACATAAAACACACACTAGGTGCTAAGTAACATACTAGGAAGTATACAGGCTAGCCGTAGCATAGATCACAAATTGTCATTTCTATATGCAAGAGGATTGCAACCTAGTAGAGTAGATATGGCATGCACATGAGCAACTAGAATATAAATCAAAGTTTCTGTAAGAGACCTTTAAGCCAAGTGCCATAGGAGTTCAGGGGAGTGAGAAGTTGTGTTTAACTATGGTGATCTGATAAGGAGGAGGTGTTATTCAAGCTGGGCCTTGAAGGATGGGAAGTATGTCATCAAATAGACAGAATAGGGGAAGGTGGGGAAGATATGTCAGGCAGCAAGAAAAGACTAAGGAATGAAAATACAGCACCTCTGTTCAATCCAGTTTGGCAGTAAATGACCCTTTCCTCTGGGCTAGGAGTGCTCTTGGCATATCTATTGGACTGTTGCATTTTCCATGCAGGTGGTCCACCAGTCTCCCTGTCTACCTGCTGCTCCCCCAGGGTGGGTGTATCTGTTGATACCAGGCATCCAGTGAGCTGGGTCAGTCACGCCCATCTGGTGCCAGACTTAAATGACCTGGGGAAGATCTGTGCTCTGCAAATACATTAGTTTCTCTGCACTTGGATTTTTATTTTGCTTTCTTCCCAGTTATTTTTCTAGCAGACTTCCTTTTGTAAAGATTAAGTGAAGAAAGTTTATCCACAGCTGAGCCAACAGTTGGGAGAACAGAGCACCCAGGAGGGTGACCAGTATTTCCACTGAAGATTGGAGATCAGGGGGTGGAATGAGAGCACACAAAATGCAAACACTTTTCTTCTGAATTTTCTCTGCTTGCCTAGTTGATTCATTGTCTAAACAAGAGTTGGGTGTTCATAGACGCCAATACTATTTCTATAAGTGAAATAGTCTGCAGCATAATTATCTATGGGGCCCCCTATTCGTTCTGCTGTGTTGGAATCACTTGGAATGGAGCCCAAATGTTTTCATCTTTTAACTTTTTCCCTTTGATTAAAAAAAATGTATTGAGTTACAACTCACTTGTGATAGTATGCACCCACTTTGTGTGCACAGTTCAATGAATTTTGACAAAAATATACACTGTGTAATCAAAATTTCCACCACTGCAAAAAGTGAGGTTATTACCTCATGCCCCTTTGCAGTCAATTGCTATCATCCTCATCCCCAGTCAACCACTGATCTGCTTTCTGTCAAGAGAGATTCGTTTTGCCTATTCTAGAATTTCACATAAATGGCAATCACGGAAAATATATTCTTTTGTCTTTTTTTTTTGGCACAGCATAATTCTTTTGAGGTTCATCTATTCTGTTATAAGTATCAATATTTTGTTCCCTTTTATTTCTGAGTAGTCATCTATGATATGGATACACTATAATTTATCTACTCGCTTATTAATGGACATTTGGTTGTTTCTTGCTTTTGATTATCTTAAATAAAGCTGTTGTGATCATTAATGGACAGTTATTTATGCAGACATATGTTTTCATATGTTTCATATTTTATGCTACATGTGTCTTATAAGAGATAAAAATCTAGAATTGGAATTGTTAAGTCATATACAAAATGAATGTGTATATATGTATATATATACATACACACAAATATTTAACAATAAGAAACTGTCAAATTGTTTTCCAAAGTGGTTGTACTATTTTTTATTCTCATCAGCAGTATGTGAGAGGTTCAGATGTTTCACATCCTTGCTAACACTTGGTATTTTTAGCCTTTTTTTTTTTTTTGGTTGCACTGGGTCTTTGTTGCTGTGCACACGCTTTCTCCAGTTGTGGTGCAAAGGCTTCTCATTGCCATGGCTTCTCTTGTCGCTTCTCTTAGAGCATGGGCTCTAAGGCGCATGGGCTTCAGTAGTTGTGGCTCGCAGGCTCTAGAGCCCAGGATCATTGGTTGTGACTTGTGGGATCAGTTGCCCCGCAGCATGTGGGATCTTCCCAGATGAGGGATTGAACCCATGTCCCTTACATTACAAGGTAGATTCTTAACCTCTGGAACATCAGGGAAGCCCCTGTGGGAGGAATTCAAGTTCTTTAGTATGTATGGGGCCATTCAAACATTCTATTTCTTTGGGTATCCATTTTGGTAATTTGCCTTTCTTGTAGGCAAAATGACCTCCCAAAGATGTCTTAGTCTTAATCACCAAAACCTGTGAATGTATTAACTTATAGCCACATTAAATATGTGATAAAATTAAGAATCTTGAATCACAAGAGTCTTTGTAAGAGGGAGGTGAGAATGTCAGAGAGGAGATGTGACAACGGAAGCAGAGGTCATGGTGAGACAATTGCTATCTGGTAGCCAGAGGGCACGGAGAAGGCAATGGCACCCCACTCCAGTACCCTTGCCTGGAAAATCCCATGGACGGAGGAGCCTGGTAGGCTGCGGTCCGTGGGGTCTCGAAGAGTCAGACACGACTGAGCAACTTAACTTTCGCTTTTCACTTTCATGCATTGGAGAAGGAAATGGCAACCCACTCCAGTGTTCTTGCCTGGAGAATCCCAGGGACGGGGGAGCCTGGTGGGCTGCCGTCTCTGGGGTCGCACAGAGTCGGACACGACTGAAGCGACTTAGCAGCAGCAGCAGTGTTTCCTTTTGCTTTTCTTTTACTAGATTCTTAAGATGGAAGCTTAGGTTAATGACTTTGGACCTTTCTGCTTTTTTCATATAAGCATTTAAAACTCTAAATTTTTGCTGTTTTTAAAGTTTTATAAAGCGCTCTTTTTACTGCATCCCACAAATTTTGTTTTCATTTTCACTCAGAGCAAAATATTTTGCAATTTCCCTGTTACTTCTAAATCTTTCCATTATTGATTTCTAATTAAATTCCTTGGTGATCAGACAACATATGAGTTCAATCTTCTTACATTTACTGAAATGTTTGGGACTTAATGTGGTCCAATCTACAGTCTGTTTTTCTTGTCAAGTTTTTTTTTTTTTAATGTGGACCATTTTTTTAAAAGTCTTTATTGAATTTGTTACAAAAATTGCTTCTGTTGTATGTTCTGCTTTTTTTGGCCATAGGGCATGTGGGATCTTAGCCCCCTGACCAGGGATTGACCCACATTCCTGCATTGGAAGGCAAAGTCCCAACCACTGGACCTCCAGGGAATTCCCTGCAGTTAGTTTTGATGACTATTTCACATGCAAGTGCCTGATAGCCACTCCAGCTTTTTCACCGTTAATTTGCATGTGTGGTAGGCAGAATAATAGCTCCCAAAATGTCCATATCCCACCCTGAGAACCTGTGAATATGTTACCTTATGTGGCAAAAGAGACTTTACAGGTGCCATTAAAATTATGACATTGAGATGGGAAGAGTGTCTTGGATTATCCAAGTGTGTTCAGTCTAACCACATGGTTCCTTAAAGGCAGAGAAATTCCCCTGGCTCTGGGCAATAGAGATATGACTACAGAAGAATGGTCAGAGTAGTGTAACTTGAGAAGGACTGGACCTACTTTATTTGCTTTGAAGACAGAGAAAGAATTCCTTTGTGGTCCAGTGGTTAGGACTCTGGCTTCCACTGCTGGGGCCTGGGGTTCAGTCTGTGGTCAGGGAACTAAGATGCCACAAGCTGCATGGTGTGGCCAAAAAAAAGAAGATAGAAGAAGAGGCCATGAGCCCAGGAATGTGGGTGGTCTCTAGAAAAGGCACAGTAACTGATTCTACCCTAAAGCTTTCAGAAAGGAATGCAGCCATGCTGAAGCCTTGGTTTCAGCCCAGTGAGACCCATGTTGAATTTCTAACAGAACCATAAGATAATACATTTGAATGGTTTAAGCCA